GATGAAACAAAAGGTGGTTTCAGCAGTTTTTTGTTTGTTTGTTTGAAAAGTGCCCATTATATTTAGACAGTGGGTGGCATTTTTTTAAGTTCCCTTCACAATTGAGTACCCATCTGCAGCTTTCAGTTCCTTTGACTGAAAACACTGTAACTATTCATGTTGATAAATATTTGTAAATGCAAGACCTACAATATTTGTCAATTTCCAAAAAGTTCTGCATTGTATTGCTTGCTGCATCTGTATGCGTGGATTCAGAAACATGACCATTGCTGCAGATTCCATGATTTTATTAGTCCCCTTTATTATTTTTTTTTAGTCTAAAAAGATGTGTGTGTGTGTGCATATATATATAATTAGACCAATATATTTTGCTATAGTTTTGCCACTTTTTTTGCCACAGATTTAAGTCTTGGTTTAAGCAGGCAGTAACACAGCATTAACATTCTTCTGGTCTGCTGACTTAAGGCACCCAGATAGAGGTAATCATCTCCAAAGCTTTCAGGCAGCATAATGTACACACTGAGTAAGAGAACAGCCTGACAAAGCAGTTTTGAAGAAACCACATCTTTGTATCTCAGAAAGGGAAGCGTGGAATTCAACAGGCAGGGAAAGCAGCCCTCTGTAGTACCTGCATCCAGACCGATCCTTAGGCACTCACAGTGCACTAACAGCCCCGAACTTCCAGAGCAGGAAGAGGGGCAGGAAGCCAAAGGGTGGTTTATGTCACTTGAAATGTATCCATTGATGAACCTAGCTGTTTGAGTGTTTGTGTTGAGTGTAATTCAAACAATAAAACAGTCTTTGTGCCTTTTCAGGAGAGGCACAAATACTTTGTTCTATTGCAGTTGGGAGCTGTGGGAGCACTGTTAGCATAATATTTTATGCTAAAATTTATCAACTATTTTTAGTTCCGCTATTTTAGTTTGAAGATGATGAACTTAATACTGAACATCTTACACCCCATGTTTCTTCTTCAGTGCTGTGTAGACTGGTCACTAACATATTCCTTACTTTTCTGATTTATTTTTTACTGAATAAACTGCTCCCAACTAAATTAGCACTGACTAAACCCCTTTGCTGGTTTAAAATTTGAAATGGAAAAGAACACCTAGCAATAGCTTGGTAATGACCAGGGAAAATAAGGCAAACTCGTTTGAAAAGAAAACAAAAAAACAAAGAAACAGAACTCTAGGACAGTCCCTGCAGCAAAACTGACTTCAGAGCAATGTGTGCTTTCAGAGAGGATGAGTAAAACCACATCCATCTGCAAAGCCAGCATATTTGACTGTGGATGTACAAAAAGACTAAAGTATGTGAATTTGTGTAGCTTCTTTTCGTAAAACTTCATAAGCATCTTTCCTCCTGGTTTTCGCAATTAGTGAACAGTAACTTTGTACTGTCCCTCAGTGACACTAGATGGCACTTCAGAGTAGTCATGGGATCAGTTTTCCGCAATCTTTTCTAGTTACTTCCCTTATGATATTAAAGATACATGAAAATAATGATTACATCAAACAAAAGCAATCTCCCAGCTTTCTGCTAATTTGTATGTATGACTGTGAGCTGGATGATACTATCTGTTTCAAAAAATAACAAGCATAAGCAGAAAGAGATTATAACAGCGTGGTTCACTAACAGGTCAAAACCCCAAGTTATGGGCCAAAATGCTGTTACCAGGCATTGTGTTTAGAGGATTTGAGAAGCAGTTTGTGGAGAGAACCGAAAAAAAGATCTATAGAGCCTGAAAGCAGAACAGCACACTGGTGCAAGGGACTTAAGAGCTGATCCCTTCCTGGAAATTAAATTACATTTCATCTCATCAGCATTTGATACATCAGCATAGTACCTGATGACTATCCATAACCTGATGCACTTTAGGAGAAACCAGCCAGCTCCCTACTGGCCTTAAAAGACCAGGGCAGTATGAAAGAGCTAGTTGATTTGTAGTCAAGTTTTGAAAAGTAATGTTCTTTAGCAACATATGCTTTTGCTAACAAAAAACGTGTATGTACTTTTGGAAAACCTAAACCTGAGGGATATTATTAATTAAAAAAAGAAAATAATGTGGGAAGGATACAACAAAAGCAAAAGAATAAATTTACAGGATTGCCATCAAACTGCAGTAAAAACTTAAAGAAGCATCACTTCTGCAACCCATCATTTTAATTTCCAACTTATTTAGTCAATTCAGTTAAAAACCTCTTACAGGAATTTTAATTAACTCTTTAATAATAATTCACAACTAGGGGAAGAATGATACATTTAGATAGCAAAAAGTAGCAGAAAATACTGTCCATAATTGCAAAAAGCACTTTAAATAAGAAAAAGGGAAGTTCAAATATTTACTCAGGCATGTTCCTGAGTAGTGTGGTGAATCACAGGCATTATGAATTTAAGATAGCAGAAAATACATTGCTGTCTATAATTTTATTTTTCTGCCTTTAATATAATCTTTTAGCTGAGGATTTGTCAATGCAACTATTTATTCTCATATCTCTTGTTTACACTGGCTTGACTTTTCTGATTATTAGGATATGTTTTGTTTCAGGCTTCCTTTCAGGGTCTATTCTCGCACCCAAGAGACAGTCACACCCTTGCCTGCTGTATAGCATGAGATGCCTCAGGCTGCACCTGGAAACAACAGGTTAGTTCCTTATGTGTTTGAGATTGTGACTGTTTACCATCTTTGTACTTTATGGAAGGATCAGAGATGCACTCTTCGGCTTAAAGGCTTTCCAGTTTAGGTCTCTTATTTCTTTCTTCCCAACTGTTTATAGTTTGTTTGGGTTTGTTCTTTTTTTCTTTCTTTTTTTGTTTTCTTTTTCTTTTTTTTTTTTTAATTTTGTTTTTAAGTAGAAGAGCCATCTGTTCTGTATTTATATGAAAAACAGTTCTAAAAGTATAGGGCTTCCCACTGCTTTGAAGTCTTTGCAGATGCTGTATATGGACAGGGTCCTGTTGGTCAGACATTGTAGGTATGGTTGCACAATTTATGGGAAGCCAACAGTGTGTTTACCTTTCGAATTTGTCATGATCTTGCTGAGGTCTCATATTATAGGATTTGTTTATTCAGTTTTATTTCACAGGACTGGGAATTAGGAACATCCTGCAATGTTTGCAGCCAATGGTTACTATCACAGAATGTTTTTTTAACTACAGAGGGGAAATTCAGGCTGGACATGAGGAGAAAACTCTTTACAATGAGAATAGTAAAATACTGGCAGAGGTTGCCCAGAGAGGTGGTGGATGCACCACCCCTGGAGACATTCAACGCCAGGCCGGATGTGGTTCTGGGTGACCTGATCTCATTCAAAGATGCAACCTGCTCATTGCAGGGGAGGTGGACTAGATGACCTTTGAAGGTCCTTTCAAACACAAACTATTTCATGGTTTGATAATTCTATTTTATGAGGAATAACTTGTGCATTAGCACAGAGGGCAGCGAGCTTTCTGTGAGACATACATGTGTATTACAGAGGAGGAGCAGGCTCAGGTATTTTCTTCTGGACTTAAAGTTGCTTCTGGTTTGAAAGAAAAGCGTTAGTATGTAGAGACTTGAAAGCCACGGAGGGAGAAATGGGAAGTTTACATGCATGTTATGTGAAGTTTTATGTAATATGAAGTTTTATGTAATATGTGATTGTTATCATTTATTGAATAAATCTCTTGCTGTAAGATTTTAGCTATATCTAATTTGAACATACAAATCCTGTGGAGTTGTTCAGGCTAAGACAATGCCTTAGTTCTCTTTTGAAATGCCAGTGCTTCCCTTTTGTATCAAATCTCTCTTTAAATGATAACAAATATCCAACCAAGAACCAAAAGAAAAAATCTAACTGCTTTCTGGAGGGTTTTCCCTCCAGTGACAGAAGGATATCACATACTGTTAGTTTTGTTTAAAAAAAACCACTCAGAAAATGTGAAAGAGAAACAAAAAACAGAGGCAAATGGGGAAAATCAGTGACTACTACATGAAGAAGACAGCTAACAAGAATGTAAACATTTTTTAATGTGCAATGGCTTTAGTGATTCACGATTGCTTCCAATTATTTACTACCTGTAGAAATGACAGCTATAAAGAAAATATAATAATTTTATAGAAAAAAAAACCCTATGAGTGTTAGGCATGAAAAATTGTCTTGAGGGAAGTGAATTTCACACAATTTTTTCTTATTTTAACTATCACCATTACAAGGATGTTCGGTTTTCAAGACTTAAGAATGATTAACACTGTGACACACTATGTTCTGTTACTCTTATCAAAACAGAAAATAAAGACAAACACTTTGGAGTTTGCCTGTATTACATTATTCTTTAATATAAATGACATATAAGTTTTACAAATTAGAGAGATTGACCTAGGAGTATTAAAAGGCTGCAGAAAATTCTTTTAAGGTGACATTTTTATTGAGTATATGTTTAGCTTTGTAGATTGATAGTAGAAATGTGCAGCCTACCTTTGATGTGCTTGCTACCCACTGGTATGGATTGAAGAATCCCAATTTGCAGAGGGCTTCAAATTGTTCTAAGACTTTTCTACAAATGATGTCCCGGTAATGTCCAGCTAGGTCTTGCAGTTATTTCACTTCATATTTGCTATACCTTACTTTTTTTCTTACAACCTAAATTCCACAAATTCGTCACATGGGAAGCTTGCATATCTCTACTTGGCAATTAAAAACGTTAAAAAAACAAAAACAGTAAAGGATGCTGACAAATGTACAATGCAGAACAAGTGAACAGTGAACTGCTATTGGTTTTGGTTTAGATATATACATGGATTGATACCAATGACCAAACCCTAATACCATACTCTGCAAGGCAGTCTCACTGAAGTCATTATAACTGCTCTTGTGACTAAGGTGAGAGGGATTTGTCCTAGAGCTCCAGACAGAGGTTACAGGTTTTGTACTGCAGACTACTCATTATTTTGTTCAGTAGGATTATGTTAGGCTAATCCTGAATAGCATTGCTCTAGAAGAATTGCAAACTTTAGAGAATTATGTGTACAATATGAATTTATTGTATTTTTTTCCAAAATAATAACATTAGCAACAACTTTATTTGCTCTGCTAAACAGATACATTCAGAATTGGCTTAGTGTTCTAGTGGATATTTTTAAACCTCCAGGGTTTGAAATAAATTTAAAGGAGGTAACTCTCGCCTTCTCAGGTCTCAAGATGACTTGAGAGTCCTTATTTCCTCTACTATTTTTGCGTGTGTGGCTATAAAAATAACCTTAATTACTATCTTTTCTTTTTTTTTTTAATATCATAGCTTGACAAATATTTACTCCGAATCTCATATACAGTGGAATCTGAAAACCTGTAGCATTCAGCAAACTGAAAAATACCACAGAAAGCATGCTGTAAAAGAAGGCTGAAATAAATCAGTTTAAAGCACAGTCGGCAATTCCTTTTGATGGTATGCTTGATCTTGTACATCTGTAATGATTTTTTTATTCTACATCAGTGGATCATCTCCACTTTAAAGTGAACTTTCTGGTATTTGGCATTAATAGTTAGCAACAATTTTTTTGAACAGGCCTATAACAACAGGTACTTTAGCTGAAACACAACCGAACCCCATCTTTAGATAATCTATTTGTAATTTCCAATCTGTACAGCAGAGCGTTCATGGATACATCGGAAAGCAGAGGGCTGGATTTCCCAGTACTGCACGGGGTTGCTGAAGAGACTCACACCAGAATAGCTAGCCTTTTTGGTGTTGTAGCCAAGAGGGCAAAAGTCGTTGATTCCAACTGAAGCAATTTTGTTGTTATGAAGATAGACCACCTGAAAAGCATAAAAGTACAGAAGTGAGAAACAGAGCTACTGTGACAAATAAGATGATTTGGTATCAAATGCTTGATAGGTATTGTCCAATGTTATATGGAGTAACAATATATCCTTTTTTCCAAACGAATGTTTGATTCTTCTTACTTTTTGAAATACTTAGAGCATACCCAATTAGAAATTATTTCTACAGAAAGAGCAGAAAATGTGCAAGGCAATCTAATATTTCTATCAATTGATCATACTGTAGCCAAACAGGAGTCAAAGATGTGGAATTATTAATACAGTGCTGTGGTTCAGAAGCATGTGCTTCTGAATAAAGAATGCATTTGGTGCTAATTGATTTCTCTCTAGCTCTAATGCTTTCACTCTCATGAGTGCAACTGAACAGGACTCAGAGCCAAAGTAATCACTAATGATAATTTAAGATATCTCATGAATATTACTCTGCTTGAGAATCACCATTTCTGATTACTATTCCCAAGCTACATGCAAGAGATGATTTAGTTTTGAGAGTCTTCATTCTTTGGGAGTTTTCTTTGTAAAATGTTAGTCCACTTGAAGACAAATTTTAATTGTTCCCAGAGGTTATATTTCTAGCTACCCAGCCACACAGACATCAAAAATACTGCAGATGTGAAATGCACATTGTGTCTCTTTGTTATCCTGAAGGCACAGCTTTGTGAGACGCCAAATGGAAGGGTCTTGGTAAAAGTTGAGAAATGTCATTGAGTAGAATTAAAAAAAAAAAAATCAACAGAAGAAATGTTCTTTGAAAGCATTTTTCGAGTTAAAAAAGAAATTGAAGTACACACATAATTCCATCTTTCTTGTGTCCCCTCAGACACACAGAGACAACGAATGCACACCTCCAGATCTATACACATCCACACAAAAATCAGAATAAGAGTCATCTTGTCATATGCAACTTTTCCATGCCTATTCAACAGTTTATGAAACATTCACTAAGTTACTTTTTCACAAATACTGTATATGTTTTTGTTCAAGACTGAATAACCGCACAAATACCATTTGGAATCTTTCAACTATTGCTCTCAAAAGCCATATTATAAGTACCTGGATATATTTGTGTTCACCCAGCCCACCAGGTACTCTGACAAGTTCATTGTTGTTCAAATGGAGCTCTCTTAGGTGAGGTACATTGTTAAGAGAGCCATTTTCAACTGAAGAAATGCTGTTGAAACTGAGACCCAATCTGAAACAAACAAACAAATAGGTTAAATTGCCCACTTAACCATCTTTCTTGGGTTAGTTCTTTATATCACTGCTGTAGACTAGACCAGCTAATTTTCAGTATTACACGAGGTACAGAGTCACCACTTACAACTAGTTTAGATAAATTTGTTTAAATGTTTGACATCTGATGTGAACTATCATAATTATTGTTATATTCATTAAACATGTGCTCATGGTACTGCATGCTTCCATGAGCTACATGATGAATCCCACTGCAAGCACATACTGTGTATGTACACTGGCACAAGTCTTTCTCCAAAAACTGAATAAGAGTTTCTTGTATGACTTTAGAAACACTGGCTGTAACTTGCTTTGTCAAACTACATAAACCAAAGTGACCAGAACTGTTAAGTTTAAATGTCTGCCCCATCCTTATCAGATACTTATGTAGTTAGAGCCATGTTACAGGCTGGAAACAGGAGTTGAGTCGTAAGTAATGATCTATTCAGCAGGAGACGGAAGTGGGATATACACATTTCTCCTAGGTTCCAGTCCAGAGTTTTCATTACAAAATCATCCTTCCTGCCTTCATAAATCCACATTCTGGGTTTACTAGCACATTTATGTCCAATTTGGAAAATCTAGTCCTACGTATGTATTTCTGTGTTAATACTATTTTGGTTTGCAATTACTTAACTGCAGAATTTTTACAAGAAACTCCTAAGTTACAGTGCTCTGTGTTGCAGTGAGGAATTCAGTAGTTATTCTGCAGATGTTGCCAACATCAGGAGTATAATTTTGTGGAAATTATTTCTGTAAGGGCTAAATTTACTTCATCTAGTTTGCTTTATCTTCTTTCTTTAAGCAATCTTTCTTAATTTTGAGGGAAAAAAAATACTCTGAGACTTATTACTAACTGAATCAATTCACAAATCTAAAATAGGTAATCAGAATCATAGAATATCAGGTCCAATCTTTCTAGGCAAAGCATGACCAAGACTAGATGTCCAGCTGAATCTTAAAAGTGTCCAGTTCTGGGGAATCCACTACTTCCCTGGAGAGATTATTCCAATGGCTGGTTGTTCTCGTTGTAAAAACTTTTCCACTTGTGTCCAGTCGGAATCTCCCCAAGAGTAATTTGTGCCCTTGCCCACATCTTATCCATGGGACTTCTCGTAAAAAGGTGGTCTTCATCTTCCTTGTAGCCATCCTTTAAATAGTGGAGGCCTTATGATATAATAATTTGCTTAATAATTTGCTATGGATGAGTACTTTTAAAGAAAGTCTGATGAACAGTAATCTACTACCTGCAATTTTATGTGGCTTGTGAGAGATTCGAAAGTCAGAATCGGGACCTGGTATAGAATCACAGAACTAAAAATTCTTGTTTGATCTTTATGGCAGAGATGTTCCCAGAAATAATGCTATCCAAGAATGGAAGTGTATTTTATTCTTTTCCTTTTAAAAATAAACAAAGCAAGCTCTCAGTATTATACATATAAAACAAAATAGCCATATCATACTCATTTAAACATTGCAGTGTTGTCAAAATATTTAATATCAAAGGAGAGCTTAGTGAGATCTCCCACTGACATTAATGGATTTCTTTCATTCAGATATCAGTTCACAGTATCCCATATATTTTCTAGAGTTTGGAAAAATTTTCATAATAATCTAAAAATCATCTTAATATAATTTTTATTAATTTATATGAATTTATATTAATATATAATTTATATTTAAAAATTATTAGAACTTTTTACTTTTGAGTAGAGTACATGTAGTATTTGATCCTACAGAGTAATTTGGTTTGAAGATCTACAGAACGTCTATAAAGGACTTCAGTGATGGGTGCTCATAGTGAACATTTTTAATAGGACTGGGAAAAAAAACCAAAAAACAACACTTAGGCAGAAGGCTATAAATTCTTGGTTGTCACATATCTAAATATATATACTTGCTATACATGCAGGTCTACAAGCAGATGTGTCACACATGAGGAGACCAGCACGAAAAAAGCAGGTCTGACTCCATACTGGTCTGTTGAAGCAAAAGTACATATACTATAAGGACGGAAAAGATCCGACCTTGCATTATCTCATGCAGGAAAAGTCTTTAAGGGAAAGAGTGAAATTGGAGGAGTCTGTAGAAAAGTGAGTCTAACTCCCATAAGCAGTGATATTATATGTAATTACATTTCATCTAAATGTGTTACAAACAAACTCTCCATCACTTGGGGCTATGTTTACAAATGAAATAAATCAAGATTAGGGTGTAAAATACAGGGTGATTAAGAATGTTTGGAAAGAATATAATCTCTCTTTTTTTTTCCCATGGGAAAAAAGAAGGGAAGAATTTGAAAAAATCAGTCTTCTTTAATATGTTGGCATATTGCTTCCTTTTATATTAGTCAATATAAATTTCTCCAATGTTTTAGCCGATTTAGTCATAGAATCATAGAATAGTTAGGGTTGGAAAGGACCTTAAGATCATCTAGTTCCAACGCCCCTGCCTTGGGCACGGACACCTTACGCTAAATCATCACCCAAGGCTTCGTCCAACCTGGTCTTGAGCACTGCCAGGGATGGAGCATTCACAACCTCCCTGGGCAACCCATTCCAGTGCCTCACCAGCCTCACAGGAAAGAATTTCCTTATATCCAATCTAAACTTCCCCTGTTTAAATTTTAACCCGTTACCCCTTGTCCTATCACTACAGTCCCTAATGAAGAGTCCCTCTCCAGCATCCCTCTAGGACCCCTTCAGATACTGGAAGGCTGCTATGAGGTCTCCATGCAGCCTTCTCTTCTCCATGCTGAACAGCCCCAACTTCCTCAGCCTGAAATGGGAATGGTGTTCTAAATCATTGAAGAGCATCATCAAAAACATATCTAAAAATTGAATAAATTCTCAAATATTTTACACTTTCTTTTGTCTCTAGCAACCCTGCTGGCTCATTTTCACTTTTTAAAAACAAACTTCACACTGCTCAACATCCTTGGGCTTGATGCAACTCCCACTGTATGTAGCTATATCTTTTCAGTAAACTTTAATAGCTTATAGACATTAGAAACATCAGTTATGTAATGTGTATACCTTCCTGTGAGGCTCATTTCTGCATGTAACCAGCAAAGTCTTTGTATGGTTTACATTAATGAGATTTATTAGAAGCACTATATGAAGGTTTTTGAAAGACTTAAGAGTAATTTTACAAGGAAAAACCGAACGAAAAGGACATATATTGCTGGCCTTCTAGAACTGAAGAACTCAAAGAGAATGAGCACTAGATCTACACCAAGCTCTTGTGTGGAGCATTTTAAAGTTCAAAACACACCTTAACACAGTCAGAATAATGACCTGTTTCTCTAGGTCTGACTGTACTTTAGGGCAGCTATTACACTGTTGAGCATGAGTTGATATGATCCAGGAGAAGAGCGATCTGACCCTGTACTGATGTTCCTGAAGATTTAAAACTATATGCTCTGTTATGTCCAATGTGTTCCTTTTTCCACCAGTCTGTATTCTGCCTTACTTTTCAACTTTGCTAAGCAGGATTTCTGACTATGCTTAGGTTGCCTGCCTAAGAGCAATTCAGAGGAATAGAACAGCTTAAAACCTGCTTTGAGAAGCCCTACATTTCCACACCACTGCTTCATAGTCTCCCCACTTATAATTATGGTATTTTTACTTTTTCATTAAAATCCAGGGGCAGCTTCTTTTTAATTGGGGATGAATCAAATATGAACATCAAACATGAGTTGAGATGTCTTACTTACCTCTAGAAAGATTTATCTCTTGGAGTTGCCAGATTCTAGGTAAGTGTTAAGTTACTATGTACTTCATTGCACTACACTGATGTCCAGTGTGGTTTACCAAGTGGTAAACTTAACTCCTGTTTTTCAGTAATCTTTTTTTGATTTCTTTGACTATGACAAGCAGAATGATTAAAATGAAGATCAAGGAATTAGATTCAGTAATCTGATTAATGGTCAATTACACTACTATTTTCATAAAAAAGTTTCAAAGTATCAGTATTAAAATACCTTTTAATAAAGTCCCATTTCACTTTTTTATCATGTTATCTACTGTGAACTAATTCACAAATAATTCTGTATATTTATAACTGATCTTTGGGAATTCTCCTTACATTTCCTAAAGTTAGAAAAACATTCAAGAACATATTCACAAATTAGCAAGGTGCAATCACCCTAAAAAAAATTTGCACTTTTTAATTTATGCTGTATCATCTATTTTTTTTAATAAATAAATAAATTTTGTTCTTAAGTACACAAATCCATAGAAACTTGTGCTGCTAAATTTTGTACCGCTTCAATGATAACACTCATGAAGCCCAGAATGATGTTTTCTAATTGTGTGCATAGTGGTTGCAACTTCAACCAATATTTTATTTGAAATGAAGAAAATTATTCTTACTTTGCCAAGTTGGTGAGTCCAGACAGACTTTCAGCATCAATTTTGGTGATTTTGTTGCCATCAAGGTGAAGTTCAGTAAGGGATGGGGGGAGGCCTGAAAGAGAGCACACCATCAATTTACTTTTGATAAAACTGGATTAGTATTTTTTTAAAGAGACTTGTGTTATACTGAGGCACTTCTACAGTAAAAAAAATATTTTCACTAGACAGTGCCAAGAACAATTCACTGAATGAAGCAAGGAACTTACACAATCATGGAAACTAGCAACATATTTGGCATGAAATAAGACTAAGCTCCTAAAGTCAATTATAGAACAGTTAATTCTTTAAAAATAGCTAAATGAAATTCTTCTCAGATATGAATTCTAGCCTTCATGATTATGCAAATGGTACACATATAATTGTGTAAAAGTGCCTTCATTTTAACCAGACTATCAGCATACATAAGTCTACAAATATTTTGCACCTAGATATTAAACAAAGAGCAGTAGCAGAAAGTGAGAATATAAAGAGCGGTAAAATAATTTTAATGTTATTTTAGGTAAGGCATATAATAATTAGCAAATTCTGTTTATCAGGAAAAAAAATAGGAAAAAAATATTTTACCTATTGGAGGTCCCTGAAAGGAACATCCAAAACAGGAAATGTGGGAAGAAAGAAATAACAACTAGTATTAATCTTCAAAAAGTTTTCATCTATTTCAAAACAATCTGCTGAATAAAGTATGAATAAACAATATAATTTCCTCTGGATTGGAACCATTCTGGTTTGGTTTTTTGTTTTTTCTTAACAGGTTAAATTGAAATTGCTCTTCTTTTGCAACAATTTGCAATAAAGTACTTTTAAGAAAAGCATATGTTTCTGGGTTTTATAGGAATAGTATTTTTGGCTTCAAACCCAGAGACTTATAGAGGGCTGATTTTATGTTTGTAGAACTTCACTTAATACTACATGAGTATACATCTGTGTAATGCTGATCAGCTTCACCAGCCACGGTTGGAAGGTGAAAACATTCTTCCACTTTATATTTCAGCCATGAGACAAGAAAAACAAAATAACATCAAATGGCTTCCTTTCGACAGTACACCTATTGTGGAGCTTCTCGTAATCGAAAACTAATTTTTTTCAAACCAATAAAAAACAACTAACCAAAAAAGGAGAAATACTCAAGGAATGGCTACTCTAGGGACTGACTCAAAAGGCTTCCATAACCAGTTTTTGCCAGCTGACTAGAAGTAGCATTATACCTCTGCAAATCTCTGAAATACTAATTGAATTTCTTACCTTTTGGAATGCTAGTAATGTTGGTGTCCGCAATACGGACGTAGGAGAGCCTCTTCATCCCCTGAAAAGCTCCATTTTCAATGCCTGAACTCTTGATTGGATTGGTGCCTAGTTCTGCCAACAAAACATGGTCATGAGCTGTACTGCAGTGTAGGTACGTATATCCTTCAGGTCAAAGCTAATTTGGAGGTACAATTTATTGGAACATTTCTTTGTTTTCTACCAAAAATCACCTATTGAGCTAAAAAACAACATCTTGAAAGAACACTGAGTTGTTTTTGTTATAATTTCTTATGCTCATACCTAAGACAATCACTTGATTCAGTCCATTAAAGACAGCTTTCCTCAACTTGGAGATCTCATTCTCATGAGCCCGTATCTCCTGAAGAGACTTCGGCATGTTTTCTGGGAGTTCCTTCAGGTTGTTCTTGGACAGGTAAAGTCTCTCCAGTTTCTTCAGAGGAGCAAAAGCTTGTGGGCTTATTTTGTTGATTTTGTTGTTAACAAGGATCAATGCCTGTGGAGTAATAATGAAGATCTCAGATTATCACTAGGGAAACGGTTTTAAGAATGAAACCTTTAAATATTATTATTATTTTTTAATGTCTCTTGATGTCTTTTGATGGCTAATCTAGTGAGCTGAAGAAAATGAAATGCAGTACTAAACCAAATAGATGAAGAACTTCTGAAACAGTTAAACAAAGCCTACATAATAAATACAAGTATTATTTTATTGCAGAGATATATGCAGCTTCTGTGAACATTCATAATTCATACCCAAGAACAAGTACAACCCTTCAAATTTAAAGCTGAGAAAAAACAAGACATTCACATAAAACTAATGTTATTGGCTTCATTTGGTTTTGGTTTTGCCTTTTTTTTTTCCCTGATTTTGTTTTTCTCAGGCTACTTTTATACTATGCCCATCATCATACAACCATTAAACATTTTTTCCTGAACAGAGAATTCTGTAACTCAATAAGCTGAAGATGCAGACCCACTTAAGAAAAGTACTCATATCAACACTTACTTCGTCTTATAGTGTACACTTATTAGATAGCTGTCTGAAAATTAACTCATTTCTTCAGTAATATAAGCTATTTTTTAAGTAAGTGGAACTTGTTATGGAAGGGTAGCAATTTGAAGTGTTACACTCTAAGTCCAGCAGTTAGGGGTCATAAGCCATATTAATTCTTCTTGCTATATAAGTGCTGTCTCATAACTTTAATATCTAGACTCAGGGTAGAATCATAGAATAGCTAGGGTTAGAAAGGAACTTAAGATCATAGAATCGTAGAAACATAGAATAATTAGGGTTGGAAAGGACATTGAGATCACCAAGTTCCAACCCCCCTGCCATGGGCAGGGACACCTCACACTAAACCATCTCACCCAAGGCTCTGTCTGACCTGGCCTTGAACATCAGCAGGGATGAAGCATTCACAGCTTCCCTGGGCAACCCATTCCAGTGCCTCACCATCCTCACAGAAAAGAACTTCCCCCTTATATCCAATCTAAACTTTCCCTGTTTAAGTTTTAACCCGTTACCCCTTGTCCTGTCACTACAGTCCCTAATGAAGAGTCCCTGTCCAGTGTCCTTGTAGGCCCCCTTCAGATACTGGAAGGCTGCAGGCTGATATGAGAACTCCATGTAATGTTCTCTTCTTTAGGCTGAACAGCTCCAACTTTCTCAGCCTGTGTTCATATGGAAGGAGCTCCAGCCCCCTGATCATCCTCGTGGCCCTCCTCTGGACTTGTTCCAACAGTTCCATGTCATTTTTATGTTAAGGACACCAGAACGGTACACAGGTGAGGTCTCACAAGAGCAGAGTAGAGGGGCAGGATCACCTCCTTTGATCTGCTGGTCACGCTCCCTTTGATGCAGCCCAGGATACGGTTGGCTTTCTGGGCTGCAAGCGCACACTGAAGCTGGCTCGTGTTCATTTTCTCATCAACCAACACCCCCAAGTCCTTCTCCGCAGGGCTGCTCTGAATCTCTTCTCTGCCCAACCTGTAGCTGTGCCGGGGATTGCTCCAACCCAGGTGTAGGACCTTGCACTTGGCATGGTTAAACTTCATGAGGTTGGCATCAGCCCACCTCACAAGCATGTTGAGGTCCCTCTGGATGGCATTCCAATGTGTCAACCAAACCACACAGCTTGGTGTCATCGGCAAACTTGCTGAGGGCGCACTCAATCCCACTGTCCATGTCAGCGACAAAGATGTTGAACAAGACTGGTCCCAACACCGATCCCTGAGGGACACCACTCGTTACTGGTTTCGAACTGGACATTGAGCCATTGACCACAGCTCTTTGTGTGCAGCCATCCAGCCAGTTCTTTATCCACTGAGTGGTCCACCCATCAAATTGATGTCGCTCCAATTTAGAGACAAGGATATCATGCAGGACAGTGTCGACTGCTTTGCACAAGTCCAGATAGATGACATCAACTGCTCTACCCCTGTCCGTCAGTTCCGTAGCCCCACCATGGAAGGCCACCAAATTGGTCAGGAAGGATTTCCCCTTACTGAAGCCATGCTGGCTGTCACCAAGCACCTTGTTGTTTTTCACGTGCCTGAGCATGCCTTCGAGGGGAATCTGCTCCAAGATTTCCCAGGCACAGAGGTGAGACTGACTGGGTCATCCATTTTCCCCTTCTTGAAAATGGGGGTTATATTTCCCTTTTTCCACTCATCGGGAACTTCACCTGATTGCCATGATTTTTCAGATATGATGTACAGTGGCTTAGCAACTTAATTTGCCAGCTCCTTCAGGACCCACAGATGGATTTCATCAGGTCCCATTGACTTGTGTATGTTCAGGGTAACTCTAAGAAAATTAGCTCTCTGTACAGCCAGGAAAGAAAGGCCTCTGTGAAAGTTCTCTTATGTGTAATAGGTGGTCTCCGTAAGCCTCTGAGTACATTATTGTTAACTCTCTTATTTATTAAACAAACATGACATGAAAAGGGAGAAGAAAATCTCATTACTGTCAGAAATGCAACACAGCTAATAGAAAGGATTTCCAGGATGATACATATCGGAATGAATCTTATAATTCCATCTATTTGCTAATTATCAGACTTACAGTGCTGAAGTTTGTGCAGTGAATTAGGTAGAATGGGCTGTATAAATACAGATATAATACCTACTTATATTTTTTACTAAGGAATAGTATCTTCCTTTACTAAGGAATAGAGCATCTTTGTTCACTAATTCCATTATGCTGTTTTCAGAAACAGAAGACAACAGTTGCTGCTAATCCAGATTTTTTTATGTTGCATATACTATAATTGACGTTAAGCACATTTTAATATTTTCAGAATTACACTTAGATCTGTGTTTTAGAAGCAAATTGAACATTCAACTCTTTCCACAGTCAGTTATGTAATCAAACAGTGCAAAGAAGTGTATCAGCGTCTGTGACATCACCTCTCCATCATGGAAACTGGACAAGAGATGAAAAGGTAGTTTAAAATTCTATTATTTGATGTGTTTTTTTTCCCTGATGGACTCCTCTTGCATATATTCTTGAGGAAACCAAGCGGTGTGTGTTGTACATGATATCATTGGGTATACGTAAAGCTGAGCATATCTGGTTTTAATTTTGTACGCTAGCTAGCAATAACACATTTTCAAGAGGAGGTAGAAAAGGTCACTCACAGTTCAACAGGGTATTTCCCTAACAATAAGCCTCTCTGAAAATAAATATATTGGCCAGTGGAAGCCATGACCCCAACTCTCTTTTATTTGAGCCCTATTTATAAGAGCTGCTATGAGAACACATGGGGTACACACAGGGTGAGTCATCATTGCCAGAACTGTAATACAGATGTGGTCTTTGCCTGTATACAGCTACCTGCACAATATTAGGATATGGGAATCCACCCAGTTATTATGAAGAGTACAGCTCGAATTATGTAGATTAGACTTTTTCATTTTTTTTTCATAAAAATTGAATAACTGAATTTGCTACTGCCAATTACATATTTTTTTTCTCTTAGCTTTACTGTGGATTTCATTTCCATAGATCTCTAAGCCAACATTCAATGAGTTTAGACTCAGCTTATTGGCACTTGAAATTTTTATCCTGCATCCTGCTTTGTACTGCTCGGTCATTTATTTCAGCTAAAAGTCTGCCTTATATTTTTTTCTTTGTTTCATTTATTTTTTTTAATATGGTTGCCTTTTAGATAAAAATTTTTCAGCTACAATTATCACAGCTGACGATCTAATTTGAAATATTTCTTGCTAAAAATATATATAAATACATTCAGCTAGGCAGTGCAATGAAAATGTTCTCTAAGTAGTTGATGTTAAGCGAATTGCTACAGCTCTTCAGAGCAGAACTTATAGTCCTGACCAAAACCAGAAATTATCTGTGTATATAGGATTAACCTGTTCTCCTTTGCCAATGTTTTCTCCTGAATGCGATCATGTTATCTTGGGGAAACACATAGAACTGTTGTTTTATTCAAACATTCAGGAAGTCTCTCAAATAGAAAAGATGGCATCTATCAAATGTGTTTAAAAATACTGATTTCAGAGTGGGAATGTCTGTACAATGATATAAGGTGGGAGGGTATGACAAGGCCGTAGTTCTGGTGCAACATTTTTGTACCAGTATATCATTTCCCATTTACACCCTGCTCTGCAAGTCCCTGTTCCCAGTATTTTAAACCTGCATTACTTTTCCACACTGTTGTGCAGCTGTAAAGAAGAAAAAATAAACCCAATTTCTAAAAAATTAGAATTTGCAGGAGGTTTTAATGTCTCCCACAGCAACAGCAAATAATGAGGGTAACACACCAACATAGCACCTGGCAAGCCATATCCCTGGGTTCCTTTTCCACTTCACAATAACTCTATTATACGCAAGACTTAAAGAACTAAGTTATTAGCCTTAGAGCAATGCTGTTTACTTTCCTCAGAATGTGCCCTGTATGGTTTGGATGTAACAAAAGTTAAACCAAACCAAAATAAAATAAAATTAAAAACTATGGGGAATTCAGAGGTCAATGAAAACAGGAACTAGAGGAGAAAAACCTAGGGAAAACATCTGCAGTCAGTGTTATTAAAGGAAGGGATGTTAGGCAAAAACATGCCACATGAACTAGTTATCCTGAGTAAAGCGCAGATGGCATAATGGGGCATTTTATTAATTTTTTTAAAGGACATACAAACATTGAGTATAGGGCAAGAAGTACTTTGAAGGAAAATTAAGGGTCGACCTGAAAGTGCTGAACGTGCTGGAGCATTTGGCCACAGATAGTACTGGCAATGCTGCTAATATGAGATGATTTGGCAGAAATTTGACAGCCCAGAACAGAGCTACAGGAATAGACAGTTTTATTCAAAAATATATCTTTTTCCATGCTTCATTTTTTTTGTGGAAGGAAAAAGATATTTCTTTTAAAATAAATGTAATTTCTCCCCCACCCCCGCAAAAACCAAAGGCTGAGCACATGAATTATGAATATACAGCTTTCAGCATGATATGGGTGTGAAGATATCTAG